AATATAGATGTAACATTTTTCCATCTCAGTTTCAAATTCCACCCATGTGGAGCCCATGGAAACAGAGAGAAGACTGTATATGTATTTAAAGACTAATAACCATGATTTCCAACTAAATAAGACTTTCTTGTACCAACTATGGTTTTATTACTTGAGATTTTTATACAGCCAGAAAATAAATGTCAGAATGCTTGGCTGTTTTTTTAAAAAATATGTTTGTTTGCTTAACCCCTAAAGATGCTTAGAAATACTAGCTTGGGTCATCCTCCTTGGGGGAGAGGTATAGAATGCTCTTCTTGGGTTTCCATCTTTCATCTGCCAAATAGAGGGGAAGGATGGGATGATTGATCTGGACTCTTCTCATTCCACATCTCATGTATCCATGCAAGAAAATTCTGTCACTTCTGGGAGGGAGAAAACGAATGTACACAAACATTCATAGGAAGATGAATAAATAGAGACTAAGAAGTGGGTGCCTAGAGTAAAAAAAAGGGTGAGGTCCCAGATGCTGCCTCCATTATCAGTGTTGGCTCAGTCTCCGGGTATTTTGGACCAAACATGGCACCAACCCTCTAATTTTAAAGGTGTTGGTTTATAATTTGTGAGTATAAACAGGTTTGAGAATGGCAGTTGCTAATTTTGTTACCACTTTCCTGGGAATATTTTAATTAAGGATATCCTAATGACGCTAGCACTTTCATAGTGCTAAAGACAATAAGCCATCTCCATCCTGTTACTTCAGGGGCAGGGCTGCCCTCCCATGGCCCTCTCTAAGGTGTCTCCCAGGAAAAATGGTGGCAGCAGCTTCCAAACTGCTCCTGCTGAGACCTGCTTGACTTTGTCTTCTGAAAACTAACAGAGGCTAATCATTTGTTTCTACCTTACCCTAATAGTTTGGAAGGGGGAAAAACTATACTTAAAGAGGAATTTTGATTCTGTAGAATTTAAAAATATGCTTCCAGTTGAAAGTTAGTTCCATTCCAAAAATAAGATTCCAGGGGAGAAGGTGGAAAATTCAGCCATAGATGTTTAACATGCCTCTCAGAGACTATCCGAAATTCCTCACATTGTGTGCATCATGGTGCAGTGGGAATGAAAATTTGGAACAGGGGATCTTGGTTTTCATCCATATCTACTTCCTAACCAGATCTGTAGCCTTGTGATAATATCCTAAACTCTGAATTCCGCAGGCTTCATCTATTAAATAAAATTGCACTCTTCGGGGGTAAATAACTTCTAAGCTCTCATATTAAGGATGTACTATTTTTCTTTAAACTATTGTCACTTTCCCAAGGAGAAGGAGCTGAATTCTGACCATGATAGAAAGTGCGGAATATATGGACTCTTTTAGCTGTGTTACAAATACAATATACAGACCGTGTAGCAGAAATCTATGTCATTGATGTAAACAATTCATTTGTGTTTGACTCATAGGCCTGAATCATAGTTGAGTTTTATTTTATTTTCCAATGTTGGTTTCATCCAACTTATTTCCCAGTTTGTCCTTCATCAGACAAGCAACCCCTAAATATAGCATGGTTTCTATGGGAACATACTTTATCCTGTAGACTTCAGGAACACATTTTATCTGAAAAATAAGGATTGTCAGATAATATGTTCAAATCTGGGCCTACAACCCAGATTTTTGTATCTTTGAATTAATTTGATTTAAGGGGAGATGTTTAAAATTGGTTGAAAAATTGGTTCCATATGAACTTTTTCCAGTTGAGTTGAGTTGGTACAAATCCGACTTTCATAAAAAGAGCTGAAATTTTATCTTTCATTGAGATTTTTTCTCAAAATAATTAAGCATATGGCTCCATTACATTTGAATGCTATTGTTTTATATCTTTGTGGCCACAAGTGCTGTTGGGTGATCAGGTAGCAGATGGTGCAGGTAGGGATAATACTTGCTTTTTTTTCAAAGCAAATGTGAATTTTATCAGCTGGTACATAAATGTAGGCCATTATAAACATGCATTACAGGTGGTAAAGTTTCAATTCTTTTTAATTTCCATAGCTGAACAATAATAAGATTTGAGCTATGGTTACTTCCAACTATTGGAGGCGTGTTGTTTCTTTGCTGTCTTTGTTTTCTATTAAGCTCAATACTTCATTAAAATTAGGCTTTGATCTCATAGGACAGTTCAAGATGTCTATGAAGTTAGGACTGAAAGTGAGAAGGTTCATGTAAGAAAATGAAAGACTTTGGAAATAAGAATGAGCCTTGTTGAAGTTACATTGCCAGAGGATCAAGCTTCCAAAGAACCATATCTCCAAATGGCAGATACAATGAGAGAAGGGAGATTTTAGAAATTGGAAGTAAAGTATATAAATATTTTGAGCTCACCCTGAGAATACAAAAGTCACACAGAAAGTACTTCCCCCTTAACATTCACATTGTTACTCTGAATGTGAAATATTTGGGAAGTACATGAAAGTAGGAAGAGAAACAACATTGGAAAAAACCATTTAATTTTTTTCACATTAATGAGGACACTAAGTCATTGAGAAGTGAAGATGAAAGTCTTCTAGAAAATAATTTTCTCTCTGTGTCACAACACACAGTAGTGATAAACATCCGTTTGTGGCTTGGATGGTTTATCATGACCCATTTTGGCTGCTTAATTTTGTCTAAGACTTGAACTTCTTCTCGGTGAGTACATCATTTGTTCCATGAATTCGCCTGACTGCTGTGGCATCTGGAGTCTTCGTTCCAGCAAACTGGGCTTATTGCCTGCGTGATGTAGACCCACAAAGGACCAGCACACCTTAAATCACCCTCAGAAGCCAATCATAAGAGGAAGAGATAGTAAGTAGTTTGGGTGGCCATTTCTTTTTGGGTACAGTGAGTATCTAAAAATTTCAATATTTGGCTTTAATGAACAAAACCCATGTAGAATTGTAGGCTTTTGAAAGGTGATATTAGGAATGGTGTTGTGGTCATAAGGGTAAAGTCTTGAGGGAAAAGAAAAGTGATATCTAACTTCTTCCTTCCCTATGAACTTACCTTATGAATGTAAATATCTGTCTGATGAATCTGAGAGGGAACAAAAAGAATAAAATCTTGTGTCTTATTTTTATGTAATATCTTTGTGTACAGTGTAGAGTGAAAAATGATGTTGAGTCAGAGAATCTGTTAGGTTCTTCATGGTTTTGACTTAACATCTCATAAAAATCTTGCAAATTAGCTATTATAATTCTGTTTTTTATTGCAGAAGAGAGAACTGTAGACTTAAATATCTGCCCATTATTAGCCAGGAGGATGTGGCAGTGTTTCCCAACACTGCCTTAGGTGGTGTGTCCATTTAAACTGTGGAATCGATCAAAAATTTAGGTTTTCATTGCTTTAAAATAATTTCAAACATAAATCATGCCTGCTCAGCCTTGAACAAAATTTATAACTAAATCAATATCATCTTTGCTGTATACAAAATTATATTGCTTTACATAAAAACCTTATGTGTATGTACTTTATTAAAATGCATATTTTAACATGTAATGCAAGTTGTAATTATGTTTATAAGTTACAATAAAATTTTATTGAGGGTGCTAAGTATGCTAGATCTCATATGATTTTTTCACAAACAAAAAAAAATATAATTATTCTCTCCAAGAAGATTCCATGGCAGCCAAGGCAAAAGTCTAAGAAATTTGGATTTGTTCTGTAGGATAACTTCTCATTCGGATACCAATGATTAGATTCTGCCCTAGCCAGGTGGGCAGGAGCTCTGTGGGGAAATAACACAGACATTTCTGCAGACAAAAGCAAGCTATTGCTTCCTGGAACTCAAACTGCCAGAACAAAGGTCTAAAAAAGTTTTTGAAATAGTCAGAGATTTATAATATACTTATTGATGCAATATCAATTGTATGTAAGCTCACTGTGGATCTGCCTCTAATTAGAACAAGGAGAAAGGTACAAAAAGTGTTCTCTTGCTTTAGCTTACAAATCATAACATTTATATATATTTTTAAATTCTAAAACTGTCTCAAACACACTGACTCATTGAATTTTTAAAATAAATCTTTAATGCAGGTGGTACAGCTTTTCTTATTTCTCAGATAAATTTTCATGAAGCTAAAGGCACTTATGTCCAGTCCCTCAGCAACTAAGTGGCAGGACTGGCTCCTATTTGCACGATGGCGGGTACCCAGTGCTCTGGCTTCTTACTGGTGCAGGATCATTGTCCCTTAAACTCACAGCTGCAAGACTCAAATAGCAACTAACCCACTTTTGTTTCTTTTTTTTTAACTAACCCACTTTTAAGCTTTGTCTTTCCACCAAATTATAGCACCGCAGTGCAAGAAAAGATTCAAGTCCAAGAGGAGAAGGGTGCAGGAAATATGTATTAGAAGCTGCTCCTTGTCTAAAAGCTGCTCAGAGAAATTACTCGAAAAAGATGTCTGGGGCACCTTTTTACAATAATTAATATGATTTATGTGGTTTTTCTCTATACTATCCCAAATTAGTTTGCTTGACAGTAGGACAGTTGACCTTCATAAGCTTGACCTGAAGGTGTACTGAACGTATATGATCCGGATTTTATTTAAAATTTTGTCATTTTGTTCATCATGAATTTTTGCATTCACCTTGGTTTTAAAATATTTCATTAAAATTTTATTTATTTGGGTAACTGAGTTGTTTGGCCCTTCCTTAAGTTTTGCACCTGAAGCTAATGTATCTCCTGCTAATTTTTATCCTGATATATGTATAGAAACATGCCTGTCTGTAGAATACCGAGGTGCACAGCTCTGAGCTTGACATTTAAACTTATTTTTGCTATTTTATTTCAGTCTCTTCTATATTTTCAGTATATTTGAATTATTGGATAGAATCTCTGATAAAATTTTTTGGCTTGTAAATAATTGTCTAGGATTGCAAAATTCAATACCATAAATGCTTAGGCTATATACTTTCACCTACTATATATTCATCACAACTTTGTAAACTTTTTGATTTAAGGTTTTATGATCTTCTAAAATCCTCGTGGCAAAACATGGAGATAATCAATGCAACCATCCTGGCAAATGTCTCAAACACAGAGTTAGGACCATGCGATATGTATTGCAGGATTATTCTGATAATACTCTACGGCGTGGTTTTACTTGGTGGCACTACTGGAATGGTTATGATGTCATGCATGATGTTTAAAAGGAACAGCCAATCAGTGGTTGCCACATTTGTCCTCAATATCATAGCACTGCACTCCATCCTGCTGGTGAGCCTTCCCTTCCGTGTCAGCTATTACTTCTCAGTCACCTGGGGCCTTGGATCCTTTACTTGCCGCATGGTCAGCAGCATCATTTACAGTCATATGTACTTCACCTTTGTTTTCTATGTGGCCATTGTCATCTTCCGATTGCTCATCTATTTCAAGAAACTTCAAATGCAACAGTTGAAGAGGCACCATGCAGTAGTTTTGAGTGTTACTGTTTGGACAGTGGGTAGCCTCATTTTTTTGCCAGTTTTTTTTTTACAATATGGCACAGATCCGAGGCACTCAGAACAACAGCGATGCTTTGAGTTCTACAGAGATCTCAACCGCAGGGAAATTGTTATCATGAACTACTCGATGATTGTCATTATGATGACCATGGTTGTGATCCTCTTCCTCTTACAGCTGATTGTCATCTTTCAGTTGATAAAGGCTCTGTGGCCTGATATGTGGACCCATCAGGAATATAGGGCCCAAATCAAGAGTTTCTTCTTCCTCCTAGTAATAGTTGTTTGTTTTATACCCCACCATGCATTCCGGATACATTTTATTCAAAATTATTCAGAGAGAGAAAATCCTAAATTAGTTCTTTACAATGAAATCTGTGTTGCTTTAACAACTGTCTGCTGTTTGGATATGCTGTGCTTCACAAGTGGAGTGATCCACTAAAACTTTCTGTGTTGCTTTCTTGATAATCATGTTCCCCATCGTGACAAAGTCATTCCAGCTGAATAGGAGCTGCTGTGATTGGAAAATTTTTCAAATTTTCTGCTCATAATCATCAAATTGTTAGGTTGCTCTTAATCAAAACTGTCTTTCTACAAAAAGGCAATGAGGAGCGATCATTCCTCTCTCCTTGATGAACACTATCATTCCACATTTACAATAGCATGTGCTCAATCTCTTAGCTCTACATAAATTGACCAGATCATCCTTTTGTTTTTTTTTTTTAGGCATTACTTACTTTATTGTATTTATTTATTTTTACATATGTATTTTATTAATATATTTGCAGTACATAGTGATTACATTCATCATGAGATGTTGGTACAAGTACATAACACATCTTAACTCTTTTAACTTCTCTTCCCCTCCCCCTTCTCCCTTCTTTAGATACCTTTCTCATTTGCAAAAGCTTTATCTTCCTGTTTCCTATTATACATCTTTTATTTTTCTCATTAAATTATTTGTACTTTGGATTTCTCATGTAAGAGAAACAATGCAATATGTAAGCTTGTGTCTGATCTATGTCACTTAACATCATGGTCTCATGGTACATCCATTTTCCTACAATGGCTCACATTTATCTATCTTCATGGCAGAGAAGTATTTCATTCTATATTAATACCTCATTTTCTTTACCTAGTCACCTGTTGATTGACATATAGGCCTCATCCAAGATTTAACTAATATGAATTGTGCTGCTACAAATATAGATATGCATGTATCACTGTGATATGATACCTTTAACCCTTTTGAGAAGATCCCTAGAAAGGGAATAGATGGGTCAAATGGAATATTTATTTTTGATTTTTTGAGGAATGTCTATAGTGATTTCCACAGTGGCAGTACTAGTTTACGTTCCCACCAACAATGTAGAAGGGTTCCTTTTCTCCATAACCTGGCCAGCATTTGTCTTTTGATAGGCATTCTTTCTGGAGTAAGATGGAATCCCTGTGTCATTTTACTTTGCATTTTTCTAATGGCCAGAGGTGATGAACATTTGTTACTTCTATTTATTGGCCATTTGTTCCTCTTCTGAGAAAAGTGTCTGATCATTTTAATTGCCAATGTTTTGATTGAATTATGTTGGGGGTCTAATTTTTTGAGTTCTTTATAAATTTTAGTACTCCGTCTGAGGAGTAACTGGCACAAACTTTTTTTGCTTCCTGTAGTTTTTCTCTTCACTCTGTTGGTTGTTTCCTCTTCTGTTCAGATTCTTTTGATATAGTCCCATTTGTTAATTCTTTATGTTATTTCTTGTGCAATTGGAGTTCTGTTAAAAGTCTTTACCTATCCCTATGTCTTCCTGAGTTTTACCTATTTTCTTTGAGCAGATTAAATGTTTCTGTTTTAATATGCAAGTCTTTGATTCATTTTGATTTTATTTTGGTGCACAGTGATAGATACACATCTAGGTTCAATCTTTTGCAAGTGTGTAACCAGTTTTCCCAACACCATTTGTTAAAGAGCCTATCTTTCCTCCACAGTATGTTTTTGGCACCTTTGTCAAAGATGAGGTGACTGAATGTGCCAGGGGTTGTTTTGTGCTGTGATTATTTTACCTAAGCACAGGGTTTTCCTTGTATATTTGCAGACATTTGATTTTTCTGAGTTCTGATTTTAGAATGTTCAGTGTAGTTCAATTCTGATCAAAACATAGCAGGAGTTTAGGAAGCTGAGGTCATTTCCCAGACTTACCTGCCCAAAAATTAAAGAATAAAAAAAAGTCAGAAAAAGTGGGAAGAAATCAGATTTAGTCTATTGGAGCCCAAATATTTGAAACTATGAGACCCTATGTGATTTTTTTCTAGGCACCCTGTACAACCATGTAATGTTATATAATTAAGTTTAATGCCAGTATCAGCTAAGGCTCCGTAAAAACAATCAAGACAGCCAATTTGGGTTCTACTTATACAGAAATTGACATGCACTTACTTTTCTTATAATAACAGTACCTTTAAGGCCACATTTCATGAACCACATACCCAAATCATGCCTTACTGGCTAACAAAGCAGCATAGTTCATATAAAGGAGTTTTGGAGCTGTTTGGAATCAAACTGTGTTCAGGAATTAAGATATTTCAGGTGAGGCATTTACAATGTATGCCATGTTTCTTGTATTGCAGGGCTCTGGTGGGGGTGAACAGTATAACAACATGTGTGAAATAATACAGTACCTGGCATGTGGAATTCAGAATGACATTACTTGTCTTTCTTAATTCAGTAACATCTTTTGGAACAAACTTTTAATGCAGGTCCAAAATCACACATAGATATATAGAAATACAGATAGAAATATATTTTAAAGGCTTGGAGTGTTACTGATCTCATGCTTTACTAATAACGCCATTATTAAATAAATAACTACATGAATTTTTTTTCTATTTTTGCCATTATCATTACTATAATTATGAATTATACTTCAGGATACTATAGCAGAACTATTTTGTAATTCTGTTGTCACAGAACAAGATAAATAGCAGTATATTTACGATACAGTTAGCCAATTATTTTAGGGGACATGATAAGTATGTGTCTCCTCAAGATAGACTGGGATTTATTTACTCAGCACTCAATTTGCTTGAGCATAGGTTCTATGAATTTCTTTTTAATATGATAGACAACCTCTAAGAGAACTTCCAATTATCCTTTGCCTCCTAACATTCACAACTCTGTGAAATCTCTTCATTCTTCATTGACTTATGACTAGAATAGAGAAGAGGAAAGAGATTGTCATTAGCGATGTTAGATTATAAAAAGGCTATGGCCATTTTCACTATGTTGGTTCTTCCTACCCAGAAGCAAGGGATGTCTTTCCATTTTTTAATATAATCTTTGATCTCTTTTTTCAGAGTGCTATAGTTTTCAGAGTAGAGGTCTTTGATTTTTTTTGAGGTCTTTGATTATTTTCATCAGGTTGATTCCTAGGTAATTCAATTTTTTGGATGCTATTGTGAGAGGAATTGTTTTCCCCATTTCTCTCTCAGTGAGTCTGTTTTTTGTGTACAGGAAAGCTATTGATTTTTGTGTGTCGACCTTGTATCCAGCTGCTTTACTGAATTTGGTGATTAAGTCTAGAAGACTTTTGTGGAGTTCTTGGGGTCTTCTAATTAGAGTATCATGTCATCTGCAAATAATGACAATTTGACTTCTTCATTTCCTATCTTCATTCCTTTTATTTCTTTCTCTTGTCTAATTGCTGTGGCTAATGTTTCCAAAACTATATTGAACAGGAGTGGTGACAGTGGACATCCTTGTCTTGCTCATGATTTTAGTGTGAAGGATTTCAGTTTTGACCATTTAGTATGATATTGGCTGTTGGTTTTTCATAGATGGTTTTTATCAGATTGAGGTAGAGACAATCTATTCCAATTTTTTGTAGGGTTTTTATCATGAATACATCTTGGATTTTGTTGGATGTTTTTTCTACATCTATTGTGATGATCATATGGTTTTTGTCCTTGGCTCTATTAATATAGTATATTACATTTATTGATTTGAATGAACAGACATTTCTCAGACAAAGTAGTAGAAATAGCAAATAAACACGAGAAAATGTTCAACATCACTGGTCATTCAAGAGATGCAAATGAATGAAAACAACGCTGAGATTCCATGTCACCCCAGAAAGAATGGCTGCGATCATGAAGTCAACCAATAACAAATGCTGGCAGGGCTGTGGGGAAAGAGGAACCCTGCTCCACTGCTGGTGGGAGTGTAGACTAGTGCAACCACTGTGGAAATCAGTATGGCCATACCTCAAAGAACTAGGACTAGAAGTCCCATTTGACCCAGCTATTCCCCTGCTGGGTATCTTTCCAAAAGAATTAAAGAATAATACCACAGTGATATATGTGCACCCATATTCATAGTGGCACAATTTGTAATAGCTAAAACTTGGAAAGGGCCCAGTTGGCCATCAAATGGAGACTGGATAAAGAAAATGTGGTGTTTTTTTTTTTTTTTTTAAATGAAGTACTATTCAGCCCTAAAGAATGAGAAATTAGAGACATTTATAGCTAAAGGGATGCACATTGAGGTGATACTCTTAAGTGAAATAAATAGGACACACGTGTAAATACCGAATAGTTTCTCTGGTGTGAGAAACTGAAAGTGTAAATAAGGACTGAAAGGTGTAATAGGTAATGTGAAATAGATGAAAAGGGGCAAAGGGGAAGGGGAAATGGGAGGGGTAGGGGAGAGGAAAGAAGGGAATAGAATTAATATGAGAAAATGAAAAAATGGAAACAAAGCCTTTGTAAATAGGGAGGGATGGAGGGGTTGAAGGGAGGGCAGGGGAAAGGGGAAAAATAAGAACCAAGAGAGATTATGTAAAGGTACAAATTTTCAATATGAATGTCATTATATTGCATCCCTAAAATGTTATATTGTATCAATAAAATTAATTTTTTATATTGTATCAATAAAATTAAATTTTTTAAAAAGGCTGTGGCTTCCATCTTGGGCAGTTTCTTTCTCTTTCGGTTGGCCTCATTCTGGAAGAAGCCAAGGGATGAAACAGGCCTGTGGAGAAGCCCATGTGTCAAAAATTATGGAGACTTCTAGCAGACATGTAAGTGAGTTTGGATATGAATTTTCTGAGATCCACTACTACTAGTAGTCATGGAGTAGGCATGGAGGTGATTCCTCTCCCATTGAGCTCTCAAATGACTATAACCCTGCCTGGCACATCGCTGCCTCATGAAAGACCCTGAGCCAGGATCACTCAGTTAAACTACCTCTAGAATCCTGATCTGAATCTGTGAGATACTAAATGCTTGTTTTAAGATCTTTGTGTTTTTGGATACAGCGTGTTATGGTTTGAGTCTAGATGCCCCCCCCCGCAAAGCCTTATGTGGTCATAGGCTTGATCTAGAGCGTGTGAAGTTGGAATTGATTCATGATGCAATGCTAGGCTCAAGGGCACTAGGATTAAGGGTGTGAGT